CAGTGGGGCTGGGCTGAGCGGGAGTGGCTCAGTGCCTGGCCCAGGCTCCTCCCTGGCTGCCTGCCGCTTCTCTCACTACTACATCCCCTGAGGGCTCTTGGATTATGAGAAGGCCCAGGCCAGGCTGAGGGACCCCACCAGCACACAAATCTGTGCACCCACCAGGCCTCTAGTATATATATGAAACCTGCATGGAATTATCTGTATGAAATTAAGGTGGGCCCAGGCCCCCGCACAGCTGCCTCCTCATGGTGTCCCTGGGTCTGGGCTTCTCTGTAACTCTTCAAGTCTAGGATTTCTCAGCTGCAAGTCCTGAGTATCCAGTGGCTAAATTCACCTGACTTTTCGACAGGCCAAATCTCCACTCCTTGAGTACAGGGACAACTCTTCCCCCTCTTCTGGGCCCCCTCTGTGTGATAAAGTATTTAATTTTTTTTTTAACGTGACATTAAAAGATCATTTATGTCTTGCTCAGCCTTTGAGAAAAGTTTCAGATTCTTGTATTTGCTTGTTTTATATAAAACTAGAGGCCTGATGCACAGATTCATGCACCAGTGGGGTCCCCCAGCCTGGTTTGCAGGGATCAGGCCAAAACTGGCTTTCTGACATCCCCTCAGAGGTCCCGGATTGTGAGAGGGCGCAGGCCAGGCCAAAGGACCCCACCGGTGCACGATCAGGGCCGGGGAGGGACAGTGGGAGGGCTCCCGGACGTGTCCTGCCTGTCTTGCCCAGTGCCGATCTGCCAGACCCCAGCAGCAAGCTAACCTAGCCATCAAAGCATCTGTCCCCTGGGTGGTCTGTGCACATCATAGCGACTGGTTGAACAAATAGTTCCACACTTGGCATATTAGGCTTTTATTATATAGGATTATCCAATGTTAAAAAAATAAAGGGTTTATCTTTGCCTGAAACAAGCCCTGTCCATTGTTTTTGTGCATCTAGGTTAACACACCTTTAAAATGCCTTTTTCAGACCCCTGAGAAGTATAACCACCCTCAACAGAGCACATAATCTTGTTAAATATTCTGTCATTTAATCCCCACCCTGCCTTGCTTTCTACCATCTTCATGTAACCTTGGTAACATTCCTCCCTCCCCCCCTCCTTAATTCCAAATGTATAAAAGAAACTACAAAACTGTCCTTCTCTGGAGTATTTGAGATCTTGCTTCTTGGTATTGTCATCAATTTGGCTCAACTAAATTTTATTAAAACTCTCTACAGGTTTGGACATTTCTTACATCAACATTCTGCTATGAGATATAGTGGGCCATAGATTTTAGGCAGAGTGCTAATTAATCATGTAATAAATGAAACATTCCAACTATTTAAATATGGTGCATGTGAGTGGGTGGGATGGTAAATGACTTTGCCCTTAAATTCAAAGCCAATTCATTTTCCCACTTCTGCTCCCTTGTGTATTTGTTTATTGCTTTTCTTTTATTCCTGTAGAAAACTTTACCTGATGTCAAAAATCACATTTTCCTGACATCTAGCTTTTACTTCTGGGTGGATGCTACTTAGAAAATACCTAAGGGTGCTTCAGTTTCTGATTTTGATTGCTTGTGGTGAAGGTGGTAGGCATACCAGGAAGTTTGGTAAACGTATTTAGTGATACGTTATTAACTGGATGCTTTGCTATGACTCTTGCCCTAAGCACTTGGTAAATATTTTCTGATTTTTGGTCTCTTTTTATTTTACCTACGATGATTTATAAATATAGGAACATATTTTGACTTGTGAAAATTCAGCAAAGAAGTTGACCAAGTGGGCAATGCCACTGAAGAAGGGTAGAAACCTTTGTGAGAAACATTGTAATAAGAGGAGGAAACCTTTCTTTATAGGTGGTCACTGATTTTGGAAAAAATATTTTAAGGACTCACATATTAAAAAGAGTTAATTAAATTTATTTTTGTTTTAAAGAGGAAAACTTTCCACAGAGTCATTTTTTAGGGATCAGACTAGGAAAGAGAGAAAGTTGGGAGTTAGATAGGAGGACAAGTTAAGGAGACATCTGAAGGATCAGAGCTGACATTACCCCTAACCATTGCTCTTTGCTCAGAATCCTTCTTCCTCGTCAATTAATGTGGATTCTTATTCTAAGTGTTCCTTAGAAGATAAAAAGAATTCCCCTAACAGATTCTGAAAGTTTTTCCTATTAATAACAAAGTTGCTGAAGGTTAAATTTTTTATTTTTGAATGAAAGTGACTGTCCTTTTCTATCTTTATAATTTACTCATTCTTTTAGCACACATTTATGGGGCTGGTCACCAAAGAAATGAGGATATAACGATGAAGTAGGCACATAACGTGCCTTTACAAAGCTTAAAGCAATAGATGGTGCACAACAGTCTGAGGATGTTTTTGACATCTATAAAAAGTTTATTTAAGCCAGGGTTTCTCATCCTCTATCAAATCTTGATAATGTTTCAGTGCACACAGGGATAATCTTTATGAAATTTATGATGAGAAAAATAAAACACAGAGTAGTATGGGAAAAAAATCACGATTTAATTTGCATAAAATTCAATACTTAATTTCATTAAGATATATAAAATCTTTTGAAAAAATTTTGGTAAGACTTTTAAATTATGACACTGATGAGAAATTATCTGCATACATATCAGACAATGCTTTTAAAAAGTATTTTTCCATTTAAAAATTTATGCCAGTTAAAATTATTATCTAAGAGTCTAAAATCTTTTAATTTTATTTCAGTGACAGATGTAAAGTTAAAATATCTTGTAATAATGTAAATATTATATTTCTAAATATAGAATCTAACCAGACTTTTTAATATCAAGTATTTAAAATAATAAAGCTGTAATTGATAGAAATGAATAGGTAGTTAGAGTGGTCACCCTGTAACCCACTTGTACACAACTACAAGGTAAGTAATACCAAAGAGAAGTAAGAGAGTTAGGGATTGGGGCTACTATTTGGAGGTGTGCTTGCCAGCTTCTCTCTTAATTTATCAGCCAGCCCTTTGCCATTGCACCTTGGGTTCTATGTATATTTCATGGAACATGAACTCCATGGATGCATTAGCCTGGAATGTGACCTCTTTCAGTAGCTCCTTGGGACACATGACCATGATGGGCAGCAGTGTGCCACTGGCTAGTGAAGTCGATGCTTATGTAATATAGCATACTTGGGTTGTGTGCAGCATTTCATGATAGAACAATGAATCGCTGCATGTCACTCTTGGTTTTTGCTGCCCATGAGGACCATGGAGCATACCATCCACTCTATTGCAGCAGACTTTGACAGCTTCTCTAGAGCAGAGATGAGTCAAAATATAATGGAATTACTACATCCTTTAGCTCAGCAGCTAGAAAGAAACAAGTTGACACTGTCACCACAATTTAGTGATGGCCTCTGGGGGACATTATACAGTGATTTAACCTCAGTGGATTAAGCTCTATAATGTCTCAAAACTGGTGAACTAATGCACAAAGTTGGAATTTGGTCATAATACAGGGAACAAGCCACAGTAGGATTCCATTGATAGTAATTGTACTAGAAATGTCATTGATCAACTTCATAAACAGAGAGTTAGTTGATGGTTCTAATATAAAAAATGAGCACTTTACCAATAAAGAAATTAAAGATAAAAAAAAAGAAGCTAAGAATCAGGGCGATTTTTGAGGATGGCAGCATAGGTAAACACCGGAAATTGCTGCCTCTCACAACAACTTCAAAAATACAACTAAAAGACGGAACGGACATCATCCAGAACCACAGGAAGGCTGGCTGAGTGGAAATTCTACAACTAGAAGGAAAGAGAAAAGGACACTGAGACTCAGAGGAGGTGTGGAAGTAAAGTGCAGAGGTACGGAGGCGCACGCGGCAAGGGCTGGCAACTGAGGACGCAGCTGTCTTTTTGAATCGGAAGGGAGTCACAAGTCCCCAGCTGCTCTGAACTCCAGTTCCGGGTGAGTCTCTGGGGACCCAGACGCATACGGGGAGAAACTGGTCTATCTGGCAGCGGGCAGAATTCGGAACTCGAGGGCGGCTTTCTCTCAGAGGTGCTTGCAGCGATTACTGGGACACTGAGATCCGGGACCTCTTAGGGCAGGACTGAGGATCAGCCATAGCTGTTTACTCCACCCTGTTGATTCCCTGAGACCCTGCCCCACCCAAGCTGTGGCAGAGGCTTTTGCATATGAATGCCCTGGCCCTTTGCAATCTCAAAATTACCTAACAAACTGCAGCAGGGCCAGACAGACCCAGAACTTCCAAGAGAAGGCCCAAGGCCTCACAGCAGCTTGCATTGCTTCACAGCTGGGCCTCATCTGGGCACCTCCAAACCCCAAACAAGGAAGGGGAATCTGCAGATCTCTTCGTAGCTCCTGCTGGGTAGCCTCAGGCAGAGGCTAAATTAGCACCTCCTTAGATCCAAGAGCCAGTGTACCCAGT